TTCACGTCTATTTTGTTTTGAAATTAGGGTATTTTAGAAAGAAAATGGAAAAGACTGAACCTTTTGAACTTTTTTTTCCCGAAGAAAAACAAGGAAAGTACAATATCGCGCATTCTCTCTTCTACTTACCTGACCTCCTCCGTTGAGTTTATTTGTGAGCTTGACTTTACTAAAGGAGACCGGAGCTTTCATCCAATGCGCCCCAAAGTTCGGAGAGTCCGGGTGGATGTACACGCAGCTGGGGGTTTGAGGTTCAGGTTTGCCACCAGGGACCCACTCCCCGTTCACGTATTTCCACCTGTGATTGTCCCCAGATACGAAGTCCAGCAAAAAAGAATACATGGCGTTCGGGTCCAATCCAGACACGTTCACTTTCAGCACCGGAAACATGCGCCTTGATAAAAAAAGAAGAATATTTACCCTTTATATTTCATTTGATCTGGTATTGTATACTGTGTGTTTGTTAAGCTCACCTGCCATTCTTTGTAACTATCATTTCATTTGTAAGATCCTTAAATTTCTGCCAAAGGTCGTTCTCATCCAGGGATAATTTCAATTCCTTCTCCGTGGGGTCGCCTTTCTCGCTGCCGGCCTGCAGCTCACTCTCCACGGCACTGAGGAGGTGGTCCACCCGGCTCTGACTGGCCTTCCCGGGACATTCAGAAGCGCCTGTGGCCATCCTGTCCAGCAGCTCCAGGGCTGAATGTAATCACAGTTCGTATTGAAAAAAACAAAACAAACTAGACCTCTTTCCTCTTCTTGTGTCTCCACAAAGACAAGCAGTTCTCTCAGGACGCTGGACGTCACGAACAGCCCCCAAATATATAGGAGGAAAAGAAGCTCCGTCTCGGGATGGGTGTTTGGAGCAGAGATGGTTGGCTCATCTCCTCTTTGATCTTTACGGGCTTGCCACCGATTGGCTCAGAGCAGCCATAATCATTGAGGTCCACAGGACGACAGCTTCTTGAATAACGCAGTTTAACCCACTTTATTACATCAGCCTGTCAACATTGACACTTAGATCAAAGCCACACCTGCAGAAACCAAACCCCTGTGGGCGGCTGAGCATGGTTGGTCTTTCGTCCCTGAAGTCTCGGATTTAGATCCAGTATGGTTTCTTAAACTTTTTATGAGGAATATTGCTTACTTTTATGATAAAAACTCAAAATTGCTTTATATGTTGACACATTGTTGTTACTGGCTAGTTTAGGTCACTTTCAAGAAACATGGGAGGTTTTCAGTTCTGTCTTTGTGGGTTAACATTTAGTCAATTAGGTGAAAGAAGAAGCTCTCTAAAATGAATGAATTAATACATGAATTACTCTATAAATAGACAGCAAATAGATGAAAATTACACTCAACAACCACATCCTTAACAATTGTATCACAGATTTGAAGTGTCACTTAATAGAACAAACTGCTGGCTTTATATCTGCATCATCACCAATTCTGATCACAGCTCAAACAGTTAAATGTTATTATAATAAAACTTTTATTTCAGAAAACCTACACATGTATAAGGACTACCGTTTACAGGTATATGACTCAAATGAACAGTTGACGGACATATAAAACTAATTTGATAAAGTATAAAAATATTGTTGTCTGACACTATAAAAGTAAAATAGTCATTAACCAGTGTGACATGGAATAAACACGTTTGTAATGTTAAAAAAATATGTCAAATGTATATTTCTCATATGTGAGACAAACATTATATTGCAGACACTAAGAGATGCTATGGTGGGGATATCTTCACTCAGATGTGTTTTCTGTATAGTTTCTCCATAGCTTGAACCCGCGGTCAATTATCTAAATATAGAACAAACAAAAAAATGACATCTTAAAACAAACAATGCAATCTTTACAAAAAAATGATATAATTTTGAGAAATATTTATACCTTAACATGCTTTTGTCGACACACATGTTCAATGGATAAAGGATCAGGTGTTTTAGGGCAGCACACTGCTGTGTCCCAAACCAGAGTCTCAACAAATTGGTGGCTGCCAAGAAAACACCCACAAACATGCACAATGCCAAAGTGACAATCAGACTTTTGTCTCCAAAAAACAAATAAATATGATTCATGTACTGTATGTCTCCATGCACCTGGTCGAGGTCATTCTGCTCGGCTGCTGGGGACATGAAGGCCCGTCATTCCAGACACTTCTTGGCTGTTTCGGAGAGCAGAGAGGTGGCAGGTTGGTTTGGCTCGTCTTCCGTTGTGTGGAGTCAATGCAGGGAAGCATCTGTGGAAGAGCAAGGATGGAAAAAAAGTATCTCGCTGATAACTCAATTCATGAAACACATAATTTATATTCAGACATGTAGTACCACAGTGTCATGCCCGCAAATAACTACTGTATTCTGGTAATTTTATTCGGTGTGACCTGTTGCCATGGTGGCTTCCAAAGGAAAAACAAACAAACGTTAAAGGCAGATAGTGTGTGGCAGCTACATGTTAGCTTCCATAGACCTCTGTGGTGTTGTGTTGTGTTGCGTTGTGGCTGGTTTGTGTTACTAACCAAATCTTGGTCGCCTCGCTCCTCCTGCCAGCTCAGCGAGTCTGTCTCCCTGTCCAGCAGTCTGGACCAGAGTTCACAGCAAGCAGAGGAAAACAAACCTCACTCAGTTTAAAGAGCAGTTGAAATACTCCCTCAATGCGCTTCTGATCTCCTGTCGCCCCATTGGATCTGAATGTTACTAAAAACTAAACTTATCGAAAAAACAAGGTTCAATTATCTATGTCAGTGCATGATTTCCTTTACGTTTCTGCCCGTTTGCTGAATTACCAACCTTTTAGAGCAAGCCATGTTTGATAAACAAAGATCATGCATTCGTCTCAGCCGTCTCAAGTAAATCTCCGCTTTCCTGCTCTTCTGAGGAATCTCAGGGATAATCTGTGATTGAGACAAAGTAGTAAACATGAGCGTTTCCCTCTGTGCTGGGCTACCACACAGTGTAAATAGAAGATGGCTGACCTACCAAATCAGGCATCTTGCTCTGGAAGCTCTTCATAAAGTGAGGCTGTAGGGTTGCAAATGTGGGGGCTTTCATCTGTGGGTGGCACATATTACATTTATCTATCATATCTTTGTCCATTACTCATTTTGTAGTTTAAAAAGAGAAGTCCCCTTGTATACGAGGTAACCATGGTGTAAAAGTCATAGGTGTCATAGCCAGTGTCATTTCCCACGGTCCTAGTGTCCCTTTTGGTGCCTCTCTCTCTCCCCCGCCAACACCCGTCCCAGCGCTAACTGTCACACTAGGCCACTTCCTGATGTGGGCCAGCAGAATTGTGAATTAAAGTTATTGATCTATATGGTGCTATATAGATCCCCAGCCTATTCATTCCTCAAAGGATAAAAAGCAGGTGCAACTCAAATACATTGAAGGGAACACAATCTAGTCTGCATTCAGTTTGCTTTGCTTTGGGAAAGCTTAAAAGGACCATACGAGTGTTTTTCCATCTTTTAACCCATTTACTTCAAATCACTTAATGTTACTGCTAACCATTTTTATAACATGTTGTGTAGTGGATTTTAAAATGCTGGCATTCTCCTTCCAGGCCACCACTGATTTCCATTTCACCCAGTAGGTTATGAAAATCAACTTTAAGACACACAAACTTGCTAAAGTTATGATGTTACTGTCAACATCTGCTTTGATTTTACTTAGTTTGGCATTGCTGCGTGGTAATGCAGTTTATCTGTGTACATTCATTTAAAAAATGTATTAAGTTATAAATGTAACTTGTGAAATGAAACTTATAAGTGTATAAAATTTATAAGTTTCGCTGCTGATTATCATAATAAAATGAAAGGAAGTGCACATGGAAAACTTTGTGTTGTGAAAAACACATTAAAATATCCAAAGCACTTTGAAAAACAGTTGGCAGTCATATAAACTATATCATAGTAAATAAGTTAAAAGATGGTGAAACGCTGGTATTGTTAATACGGTCTCATTAATTCATCACATAAATATAGTGGATTAAGTATTTAGAGAACATGACAGTACAATGTAATATCATTCAAACAAAACAAAATATGACCTTAAAATTACCGCAGAGTTGATCACCGGCTCCCTGACGCTGTATTATAAGGTTCATATATTATGAATATCTTATATTATTCGGAGGTAAAGTAAAGTGGTAATGCGTACTGTATAGGTGCCTCACAAACACTCAAAGCCTGAACCCTGGACTGACACCTTAAGGATGTCAATAGGTGAGATAGGCCTGAGATGTCAGCACGGAGCTGTGGTGAGTAATGCTCCTGGCTTTCACCGGTCTTGTCTGACCACTGTTTGCCTTCCCCTGCTCTCCCTCCAGCCAGGCTCATCCTCTGTTTGCTCAGACCCATTTTGACACAGGGGTGAGAGAGAAATGAGTCCTTCGTGCTTGTCCGTATATGCTCATCTCAGCACCTGAGCATAACCTCCCCTCCAGTGTTACCAGTCTCTCTCCTCTTCTCTGATATCACTGTAAGGATTTGAAATAATGCTCTCTATGCCTATTGCCTCTAATTCTCTCTCACGTTTGTCTGAAGGCAAAGTGGATGCCACAGTGACTCACAATCGCCTGTCGAGATACAAGTGGTATCACAAGACTGGACAGGCCTGGGCTAGCTGGTTAGCATGCTCATTTAAGTAGACATTTCTACAACACAGTACATAGACATCTTTGACATACAGTAACAACACTGTAAACTTTTCACATTCTGGTAATCATGTTGGTTAATTTTTTAAACGTTTTAAACGTTTTAAACTAGAACGCTGACCAGATCTTACATGCTGCACCTTTAAGTGTACCATGAAAGTTACATGTGGCGGGAGAAAATAAAGGAACTGAAAAGACAATAGGTGAGATGGAAGCAAAGAGAAGGAAAATATATGATCAGGTCCTCAGTAATGTGTGTTGGAGGAGGCAGTGGGGGATCACTGCTCCAGGTGTATTTGCCTCTCACTGCCTTTGTTGAGTGACATTACACTAACCTTGGGAAACATTTGCTCAATTTCATCCTTCTCCTGGCTGCCACCGAAGATCTCCTCTGGACCAGACCCTTGCTTTAATAACCTGTACGCACGCACACACGCACGCACGCACGCACGCACGCACGCACGCACGCACGCACGCACGCACGCACGCACGCACGCACGCACACGCACACACACACACACACACACACACACACACACACACACACACACACTGCTGTGATATCTGACCTGCACACAAAATGTCAGGTTGTTAATATATTCCTGATGGTGTGCTACTTCTCAAGAGTAGCCATAGTGTGGTGCAGCTCACACCCAATAACACTGCGCACTCAGGTGACAACACACTTTGTCTGCTGGGTGCAAACTGGCTCCATGGAGGACCCCTGAGCAAGGCAGCGTTTACTCACAAGACAGTGCAGCAGGTAACAGATCCATACAGACACCAGTAGCTGCACTGGAGGCAGGTGGAGGAATGAGGATGTGTACCTGTGCAGCCATATATGTACAGTGCTAGTGCTCAGATGATAGATGACACCGCAGAAGCTTGATTATGAAAAACTCTGATAACTCATTAAATTGTTGCCTAGCGAGATCCTACAAAATAAGAGGCAACTAGACCAGCCCTGTCTTATGTGCAAGTTCCACTCATTGAAGTCAATTTATAGTAATAGTAATATGGTCTGCTGAATCAAATTTTGTAGACCTGTAATGCATACTCGTGAAATTGAACATGTTGAAGAGACCATGACCAGATGGCCACAACGATAGCAAATTACTGCCTCAACTGTCCAATAAATCACAGCAGCTAATAATAAGCATATAAATAGCCACAAAGCAGAACAGATTGGATGAATTGGCTCATTACTAAAAAGCATAAACAAGGACTTTGCCGACTCCATATTTTTGGCTTCTGCTCTAATTGCCTTTATTTTGGGTTTTTCTTACGGATGTGGGGAATGTGCTTGTGGCACAGTGCTGGGGTTGGGGGGCCGCTTATACTCGCCATGTTTGTCTGTGGAGCGGTGAGATTTCACACTGATGGAGGACTTGTCAGCGCAAGCCTTCACATGCGTTCTTACTTATAGCTCCTAATGTCCCCAAGCCAATGTGCTGTTTCACGGTGGCAGCCGTGTGCTAACATCATACATGCTCCTACTAAACAGAGTTCGGCCCTAATTAACAAAAAGGATGGCAGTGGCCGACACTCTTCTGTTATACATTCACAACATGTAAACACAAAGGACACTGAGGGTGATATGAGCAGGTGCAAAAGTGTAAAGTGGATCTGAACTACATGCCTTGGAGATCATTTTCTGTAGATTAACAGCGGTACAGTATGAATTGTGTAATTTGTATTTGATACTAACAGCACTTATGTTAATCGCCAGTGTTATGATATGAAGAGACAATTGCAGAAAGCCCCAACAGCCAGGGTAAAAGTGAAGCTTTTGGGAGTTTTCTTATGTGTAAAATACTTCAAAGGGCTTTCAAGGTAGTTAGTAGTTAAAACACTGAAACAGTTGAAGTGGCAGTTGGACTTGGGCCTACTGAAAATAGCAGTTAAAATGGATGTGCTGAAAGAAGCGTAAGTTACAGTTTAAATGAAAGCACTGAACGAATTTGAATAGTCAAATCAGCTGTAAGTGCAGAGTCAAGTGTCAATTTAAGTGAAAATGCTATAACTGGAAGAAATTCTAATTTCAGTTGATTTTAGGTGACAAATCAAGCTGGACGAGTCAGCTGAAGCGAAAGTCCTGAAAGAAATTAGCGGCAGTTGAAGTGTATAAACTAAAAGACGATGTCAGTTAAAGTGTCAGCTGAACAGTAAGCAAACTCTTCAATAAAGTTGGCTCTCAGATTATCTCTTCCACTTTTCGGTAAATGGAGCGCTGTTTGCCTAGAATCCCATAAAGCTTTGAATGAGAAGGAACTCTCCAAACAGTTCAACATCTGCTCGCAGTGCTGGCATGAAGTGACACCACTGGCCCAATTGCTATGTCTCTTTTGTAGCGGACATAATTACGACATTTTCCCCCCGGATGATGTTTGTCAGAGTCAAAGCAACCGTCCGAGGAGGGGAGTCTCCACAACAGAGGGGTCAGCTTGTGTTTGGACATCTCACTTCTACGTGAGTAATCAGCTCTCTCCCCCAGGAGGGTCAGTGCTGAACTAGCCTGCAGTGGAGTCTGTGTTTGATTTAAAGGCAGTGCAAACAGAGATCCAGTAGACCAGAGGCCTCTACAGCCGAGTACCATGTCCCTGCCAGCCCTCCACCAACACCAGCGGCATCTTCGACACATAAAGCCTCAGACATGTAGATTCTCAAATATACAGAATATACTGTCTTCAGTATAATTTTCCATATTTATTTGAAAAATATTTGGAGCAAACTATTTTTGCTGCTGCATAATATTATGTTCAAAGAAATCTCAAGACTTCTACGTGTCACTTTAAAGCAGAAGTGCGAAATTTGGGGGGAAAATGTCAAACTATTGCTTTAAAAGTACGGGATGCTGCAGGCTTGAAAATGAAGGCAGCTGAGATAATGATTATTTGAAAATAAATATTGGTCAGGGGTCAATACTCTGAAACAAATGCAGACTTATTACAGTGTATTTTGTCTGCACCTGGAGTGGTCCTCATCTCCTTTATCTTCAGCAGTGCAGGGATGTGTCTCTGAGATCTTGTGTTGAGTCATCAAATCAGCTGCAGGCCTGCTTTCCAGCACTGTTCAGGTTACATCAACACACATGCAAAGTCACATCTACTGTTTTTCCATAATAGATATAGGAAGAGGGTTTTTTTTCTATATCAAACTGTTACTCAACTCCTTTTCCTGACATCCTCCAGACTCTTGTGTAGTTGAGATGGCTGACTGTTATATCTGATGCACCTATAAAACTCCTCCAAGTCGTGGTGGGTCTTCAGATGTCCACGCTCAGCTAATTGTTTCTGGAGGTCAAAGATCTCAGGAAAGAAATGACAGAACACTTGAATGAACTCCACAGGGAGACATGAAACATCAATGACAGATTAAAATCAGGTATCATTGTGTGTCAGTGCTGGGACAAAAACTACCAGGTAGTAGCTGGATTTGGGAAGGGACTTCAGGTGTGAGTCATTGTGCTGCAGCTTGGAGGAGGCCAACTTCTTTTGTTTCTGAAGAATAAAAGAGAAGGACGCAGACACACGGAGAGACAGAGAGTTGTGGGAATAGAGATTTGAAGCAACCCACCCTTGTTTAAGGGGCTGGGAAACAGAGTGCACAGAACAAATGAGAAGTAAACACACAGCCACAGGAAGCCATTAACAGCAGCAAGGACCAATTAGGCCCCAGCAGGTGTCCTTGCCTTTGCCTGCTTTGGTCCTGCCTCACCTCTGTGTCTGTGACAGAGCCTCTCGATCTGAGCTGAGGGAACAACGGGTAGTTTCATCTGCTCAGCAATTTGAAGCAAAGGATTCTTACTGGAAGGCCTCTATAGTCCTTTATTGTCCCCCCACCAAGTGCAAGTCATTAGAGAGGACATTTACATCCTCCTGACGAAGCTCTGCTTTTACAGGAGGGGCAGATAAGACAGGATCTCTCTCATGTTAGACCCCCTCTATGCAGCCGCTCTCTAAAGCTTATTGCTCTATTCACACCCCGTCAGCATAGAGACGAGACAGTCAAAATCAAAGCCAACCACAGCAGCTGAAACGGCAGAAGGAGAATTATACGCAAGAACAGGTAACTACATTTGCTAAAAACAAACAAACAAAAGAAAAAAGAAGTGACAGGATGTATGGGAGTGAATAAAGGCCATAATAATTTGAGTCTTATAAACAACTTAATACCTAAGTGTGAAATGTCACCCTTACTAAAACCTTATTGTTGATTTAAATACCATTGAATTCACAGCATTGACATATTTTACTTTGCAAATCATCTATCTGAATTTGTGGTTTGAATTCCCTAAATCTCTCAAGTGGTGCATTTTCAAAACCTGATTTTAAATGTTCTCAAGGGTTCACCAATTCAGACAGAAAATTAAAGTGACTGTAATTTATATTTTTAGAATGAGAATGTCTCAAATGACAACGTGAGCAGAATGTGACAATATGAAAGAGGTCACTCAATACTGATTGAGAATGTCAAACCTAAATTTCAGATAAGATATTTTTCAAAATAAAATATTTACATTTCAACGCTATAAACTCAGTGGTGTCAAAATTTTAACATGAATAATTCATTAGTGATTAAATTCCACCGTTAGATTTTTTGTAAGATTCAAAATGTTACGACAGTCTTTGCTTCCATAGAATGGATTAACTGCTCAAACATCACCTGCAAATTATTTAACATTTAATTAATGCGGGTTCGTCCCATTCATCAACAGTGTTGGCAGGCTATAGTGTGCAGGACTTAAAGACTCACAGGATTAATTTGTAAACAGCAGCTGCAATTGTTTCCAATGATATGCATGTCACTTAAGGAGTAAAAGAGAAAGTGGCGGTGTTGTAGTGAAAACAGAGAGGCTTTGATTTGCAGGGTTGTGTATTTAAGCCCGGACAATGTGTAGCACAGTGGTAGGCAAATAGTTGCCTGAAGGCCAAATCAGGCCCACCAGCAAAATACTTGGCCTGCAGACTAACGCTGCATAGTTTACTTCAAAACTGATCCTCCTGTGGTTACAAATGTAAATACAAGTTTCATATAAATCCCAATAAATATGACATTGCTAGATCTAATACTGCCCGCAATGCCCCTGTGTATAGGGCATGCAAACCAACTGCCCATGTGAACACACACTGAGATAAAAGTCCCAAAACAAACACTTTTATAAAACTATTTTATTCTTAAAGGAATTAAAAAATAAACAAACAAAATAATCCACTGTGCCCTTAGATCCCACAATGAAAAAAACCCTGAAACAAACTGCCCATGGATGAAGGTAATCGCTTAACTCCGGTTGTAGTGTATGTTAAAGAGAAAGAATATAGTCGAGACTGGAAAACGAATTAATTTAATATATGTTTGCCCCCACAAGTTGTAGCATGCAGTAATGGTGTGTCGACACTCTGCTGGTAATGGAAACACTGAAATGGAAAAAAGTTCAACATGATACAGCATGATTAAGGTATTGCATATTATGAGTTTAATATATCAAAGAATATAATCTGCAATAATTGAAAACCATTTAAAGTGAACGTCAGACAGATTTTGACCTCTGCAATTCACGCACATGACTCAGATAAAGCCCTCAGTGTTGACAACGTTACGATTCAATGATTCACCTGCTTAGTTTCATTCTCTGGCTTTGCTCTGGCTGTCTCATCTCTCTGCTGCAGAAACACTCTCTGTGAGTGAACCTTGTCCGTGAGCAGGGCGGCATAGCGGCGACGGAGAGCGTCTCGGAGACGATGGATGTTCCTGTAGGCCTCTAGATGGCGCTGGAGGACCATCAAAGTAACGGAAGGACACTTACTGTGAGGAAATGACCGAAAAGTAAGCACTACCTGAGTATACAGGTACTGATGAATGAGATGTGGGTACTTATTAATACAATGATCTCTCATTGCATCATTGTGCCTTTGTGACAATGAATGTGTCTTTTTTAAAAATCAATGTTCAGTATTTATCAACCTGATCGAGCTGAGCCTGACGCCGGGCCTTGGCCTCTTGGTCCAGGTCTGGACAGCTGTCATGCATTGCCTTCCTCCTCCGAGGCTCAGCTTTGACTTCACCCCCTGCCTATCAACGGTAAAAACCCAATTTAGATGCTGTGGGAGTGAGTCAGCTTGCCTGAAGATTAAAAAAAGAATGCATTTCTGGTAATCCCTCTCATCTGCCAAAAGCAACCTCCCACACGACAGCTTCACATTGTGTTCTTGCAATACCCAGACAAGAAAATAAAATAAAATACGCAGGAGGAATATGCCCACCTCCTCTCCCACAAAGCCCTCACCTCATTTCCTGCATGTATGCAGGAACCAATTTTGTAAGGCTGTGATCTGCCCTAAGTATATCATTGGGCTACAGTGTCCTTATTTCATCCTGATAAAGACTGATACCCAACAGATGTTGCAGAGGGAGGTTTCAGAGGCAGATTTCAACTACTACATCTTGAAGCAAATGTTGTCTTGCCCCAGAGTATAAAGAGAAAATATCAAATGGAAAAGAATGCAAAATGCGAAGCATGTTACCAAAGAATGCAAGGCTAATGGGAGTAACAGCATGCATGTCAGAGCAGATTAACTATAGGAAAAACATGGGGCTACATGCTCCCTTTTATAACCCGTAAATGAAGAATGTAACACGTTTGAAGTTTCATGGGAGTACTGCACTCTCTGATCCAAGTCTTATCTCTGAGGTCGCCCTGTCTCTGGGAAATGGCTTGTTCTTAACAGGCTGCCCCCGAATGACCACATTACTGAAGTTTATGGGCTGAGTCAGTTTGGGAAGTGTCTGCTTTGTCTTTTCTCACAAAAGCTGCTGGAAACGAGGGATTTATCTGTTCCGTTGCCACAGTAATACTGTCGTGGCAGAGCGGAGGGACACGCCGTTCTTTAGCTCTCACTGCTGTGTGCAAAGTGTAAGTGACGGGGCGAAGGCGGCATCCATCTGTGCTCCCCTGCCACTATAAATCAGTGGAGGATAATGCAGCTGTCCTGCTGTAACACGTCACTCTGCCAGACAGTGATCATGATACTGCAGCGAGGTGGACAGAAGCCTGCAGCCATTTCTTATTCTTTTTTTAATCCATAAAGAGCAGGGTAGAGACTGAGACATTGGAGATAAAAATAGAAAATGAAGACAAGAGATGCTGCAGGTGTAAACAGAAGCAGTTTGTGTCAGAAGATGATAAAAGGCAGAGCTGAAAAGAGAGAGAGAGCTAGCAACTCCAAATGATAAAGACCTTGAGTTTGGAAAAAGTGTTTCCACTTGTAACCAAGAGGGTTGCAATCATCTCAGCTTGTTGGCAGCTTCTGCTTCTTTAAATTCTACTTATCCTATTGAATACAAGTATTTGAGCTACTTTAGACATAATAATGCAGCTCTCACCCCGAGGACAGACACAGTCATGAACAGCTCGGCTTCAGGCCTAAACTAGACAACAGTGAATACCAGAGAGAGGCTCATGAACAAGGACACAATTGAAATGACACAATAGAGCAGGATTACCAAACTTTTGGTCACAGAGCCAGTGGATAATATCATCACAGGAGGCACGGAGAACCGAACGGGTCTTGGTACACACTGTACCAAGACCCGTGATCTCAGTCTGCAACATGCGACAATAAAACAACTTTGTGACACTGAATGGGAACAATTGGCCTTACTCTGGCAGTGCGTTTGCACATAAAGAGAAATCGGTAATGTCATGTACTGGACCACTACAAAAACTTGTACTAGGACAAATATTTGACACCTGACCTGTTTATCCATTACTGATTAAAATGCCGTTTAACGGGATAACAGCAGGATAAAATATGAAACTCTCATGAGTTGATGAGTGGGTTATTTAAAATACCTTTCTAACACCAACGGGTAATAAGTGTGCATCCAAAATATAGGGCAGAGTGCTTGATCGATGAAGGTCTTTGCTCTCAGATCTCATGGCAATTCCTCTGTTGACCTTTAGAGAAAGGATTATTGGCAAATTAAATTCCAAAATAATATCTAAAAACAATTTCAAAAACAGCTTACCAGTTGTTGTATAGGCTTTTCAAACACACGGTTATGTCTTAAACCTCACAGTCTTCTGTCCAACTTGGGACTTTAAAGTGTACACTCTGTGTAAAACTTTGGTTACCAAGTTACCGAGAACAATGGAGTTAAGCCTTATTGCGGGGGACCTTCCCACTGTACACACATTTTAAATGTGTTTGTGACCCTGCATGAAGATTTAATTTGTGTCAAAGGCTATAGCATCTGATTGCTGTTTTCTTTAAAGTTTCCCTTGACTGGTTTATGGTCAAATCAATAAAGCGTAGGCAGCTGAAGAGAACCAACAAAGGCATCATTTCTCTTTATTAACTCTGGTTTATTTTGTTTTTCATACTGGTTTGTTTCTAATCCCTCAACTGGTCCCTGACCTGCTGTTTCTCCCTGAATAGTACATGAAGTTTATTACCACATATAGAATTAAAACATGGTTCTTTGTAGCTCAGAGAGGACCACACAAGCATGGGAATGTCAGGATTAAGCACTAAATTCAAACTGGGAATACCGTTGCTGCAAAACATAGTTCTGCCACTCTGGGTGAAACTGTCCCCTCAGATATTTGGTACCAATACTGTTTAACTCTGGTAGCTACATGCATCGTTTGGTTTGATATGATAAAAGTAAATCCGACTAGAGATAATTTCCGGAAGGGATCATGCACCTGGGCCCCTCAGTACACTGGTCAACCCTGCTTAAAGATCTAAGAGGCTTACAGCACTAATGCCTAAATGGCCTCAGGTACAGGAGCAACAAAAGATCCTTTAAATAAAAAGTCTGGTAACCGAACTCTGACAGCCAATCAGCATCATGTAACAGAATCATTCAAGAGCAACAACACTTTAAACAGTTTAAAAAGATTTAAAAGAGTCAGTGACACTTGCATGATTAAAAAAACAACAACAATTTTACTTCAAATGCCATAAAGTCATCAATTGAGAAAACATTTGACAGTACAAATATTTAGTAAATATTAAATACTGTACATCGCTGATAAATCCCTACAAAAGGATATAACCCTCTTACTAGAGGAAAGAATAAACAGTCCAGTTTGGTTTCAGCAGCATGTAAAGCCCTGTTGTTGACAGCGTATATTGTTCTCCAGCACAAAGGAACAGTTTCACGTCCCTTTACGCAAACCCCACTGCCAATCCACAGGCGCCCCACTGAAAACAAAAACCATGTGCAAAGGACAACAACATTAAGGTATTCAGTTCAAACTGTAACATTGAACAGGCATTAAACTCGCAAAAGCAAAGTCCCTGTGAACCATAAGAAGCACTGTTGGTTGCAATTCAGCTTTAATATCTTATTTCTGTTGAATGCCAAATGTCCAATGCAGATTACTTATTTTCACTTTCTTCAATAAGTGTAATTTTTTTGTGACATCTATCTAGGCATATTACTCCGAAACAAATTAACATTCCTCTGGAGTGGATTTTTTTTCTTTTGCGAACGTTTCATTTACAATACTCAAATGTAAGATGCCATCGCAGCGGGCCTACATCGGCACACGCTTTTCACGAGTCCATCATTCCTTCAGTCTGCAGTGTAAACAAAGAAAAAGAAAGTTCAAAAGTCAGGTGTCAGCAGCCTTTAAGGTGCGGGAGTGCAGAAAGTTTGTCGACTTGTCCCAAAGCAGCGGCATTTTCGACCCCTTTGAGCCACTCTTTACATTTCCTCACGACAGTCTCATCCACGTCTCCATCCTCTTCTTCATACTCCACGTCGTCGTACTTGTATTGATCATTCAGCAGCGATATCTTAACGATGGCGGTGATGTCCTGCTCGGCGCATTCCACTTTGGCGACAGGAGCGCAGCCTTTGGACGTTCCGTGCGTCTTTTTGGATGGAAAAACTCGCCTGTGGCGAAAGTCCGCGGAGGCGCAACACTTCTGTTGCTTTGCCATCATCTGCTTTTCTAGATTCCGTTTTTGGATGACAAGAATGGCTTCAGGGGTGAGACTGAGGGTGAACTGAATCTCCTTCTTCCCTTCCTCTTTGCCGTTGAGGTGTCTGGCGGAGTCCATGGAGCTGGAGCGCCTGACTCTCTCGAACGAGTCCTGAGGTTTTGGTACAGTCAGCCAGGAGCTCTTTTCCTGCGTCTCCTGACCGGCACCTGCCTTCTCAGCTGAGCTTTTACGCTTCTCTTGCTGGGCTCTTCGCCCCAAATTCCTTAAATTCGCCGACGTCCAGGAAATAGACTGCTTCTCTTTATCGGATCCTTTCTCTCCGCCGGATTTGCTGGTGTGCTCAGTGTGAGGAGGCACTCCGTTGGCTTTCTTTTTCCCGAATAGATCCCTGCCCGGAGAGGAGATCCGCTGGTGGAGGCTGATGGGCGGAAAAGGCATTTTTGTGGCTGGAAGTGATCGGGATACAAAAACGTGCAAATGTTCAAAGTGCAGATGATGAGGGAAGCCCTGCGCAAAGCGACGAGCGGCGCTCTGCGGGCATTATCCAACAGCGGGGTGGAGAGGGGCTGCTGTAGTGCACCTGTTGTCCACAAAGACTGGAGTTCAACTGGTGCACACGCACACGGCCTGGCTGCTTTATGGTGGGGCTGGCAGGAAGGCGTGGTCACGAGAAGCACCAAACAAAGCCAGGCAAAAACTGTGGTGATGTCATTTCATAATTCCCAAGTACTTCCTCAAGCGATGAGCGACATCCACCTCATGGTCCTCCCATCTTTTCTCACAGCGCCTCTCTGCTGTTTCACGGTAATTATAGACCCACATGCTCAAATTGTTTAATATTAATCAGCCTGAAAAATATCACTCATCTGCAAAATAAATTGTGATATAATGAGAGGGTGGATATATTTTAAAAGTGACCAAAGGTGAAGATATATGTGGTTCTTAAAGGGGACCAATAGCTTGTCTATTTCAAGTAATTACATTTTAACTTTAATAAGAAATAATGCAGAAAATACTGCATCAATTTAAGCTTATATATATTTTTACTCAAATGTGCCTCGACATCAAAACACGTGTTAAGACAGCTTGTTAACGTGAACAAGTTGAGCAATGCACAAAATGTGCATTTTTCCATCTCCAACTTGCATTCGTCAGTTTAAGTATATAGCTGTGAATACACCTCCCTAGAGCTTACATGTACTGCACACGACCATAAAGATACCGTTCGGTCCTTGTTGCTGTAAGATAACTCCGTCTGTAACAAACCATGTCATTGGCTCAATGCTTTCAGTCAGTCAATATCTCAAATATCAATGAAATGATGTATGTAGATGGTCTGTTGTTCTTTCAGCCATGAAAGACATCCAGAGGAATACACAGACTGTCTACAATATTGATTCCTCTTCCTTTTTGCTGATATCTGGAATTTCACGCAGTCCGTTACACAATTGATTCAATGTAATTTTGTTTCTATCAGTGTAGGTGTAAGCGAAAAATCAATGCTTCCTTCCAAATCTATAGTTTTTAGACTGTTTATTGCCTGAGGAATACATACTTTTGCAGTTTGTGAAACATTTGACCATATATTATTTAGCTGGTAATTACTATATCAACATGAGGGATTTAAAGGAAAGAAATAATTTACATTATAGTGTACAAATGAATTGCTGTAAAGGCAGGAAAAACATTGGGCCCATAGTAGTTAATTACTTTAAACATTTTGTGTGTTTAACTTTCTACATGAGTTGTGTTTCTGTTGCAGAATATTTTCCAACAAAACCAAAAATCTAGTTAGGTCAACAGCCACTGACTCACTATTGGAATAAAAAAAAAAAAGAAATGGCACGGAGAGTTCTTTAAAAGATGAGCTGGACCATTAAGCTGAAGGGGACACAGACTTTGTTTTTATATCGGTGTGTGTTGTGGTGGCGTGGGATCCCTCTCCTCTCACATAATGGATTAGATGTAATAAAAAGGAAACAGTTGGGATACACAGAAACTGATTTCTGAGGTCAGGGTTCTTCCCCTTCATCCTCAAGCTTCATTGTAATCCAAAAATAGCGGGCAAAGAAAACCGATAACAAAAACAACCACACAGTCATTTTATCCCTCTGACTAATTGCTCAAGGATTTGCTGGGTCCCTGCCAAGTTGGTGGGGGGAAAAGAAAAAAAAATAAAAAATAGTACTGAGGGGAGATTTTGTCGACGCTAATCCACCACCAACACGTAGCATTATACAAAGCATCTAATGAAACTATGTGGGGGCTGCACAACAGGAAGCGCAATGCTGTTATTCAGTCGCATCAAGCAGAAAGACGAGGAGGCATGTTTTGTTATACCTCGGGCACATCCTGCAGCTAACACAAGGAGACGGGGTGCTGGGACTCTCCATGTAGCTATTGATGCACAAGACGGTTTTAAAATAGATCAGCCAGAAATCCACCAGTCCAAGGTGTTCTATACAGTAAGAAACAAAGCACACCTCATCAGGATAATGTGAACATCTGCACCACAGATGGGGGGGGAGAAGGCTGAGGTTTTATGAATTTTCTGGAGGAGGTTGTCATGACAACCACATCCTCAAAGGCTACGCCATCACGCCGAAGCAACATAGGGAGCTAGACGCCAGCTATTCTGGGTTATTAGGTCACATCACAATCACAATGCTCAGAAAAGTGTAATTAACGGGGTCATTTCTACATCTGGCAGGAAAGCAACTTTAAAGAGAAGAAGCGATGTTCATGTAACGTGATGAGCCGAGAGGAGCAGGTGTGTTCAAATACACACAGATGGACAGACTAGACAGGAGCTGCTTCTTTAATCTGTATTTAGCTGGGGAAAAAAAGAAAACTTCAAAAAAGGCAGATATTATATATTCCAGTGCATGATCCATGAAGCAGTGTCTCAATTGCCAAAGGGAAAGTAATCATATAAACATGGAACAGCATCCGAGAGCCTCAGACGTGTGTGTGTGTGTATGTATAATTAATTAATTAATTAATATATATATATATATATATATATATACTGCACTTACTTGGTTTAAAATCCTCAAAAAACATAGGGATGCATTTAAATAGATTAAGCACTAAATGCACTCATTTCTTCCACATCAAAAGCAAAAGATGTTGTAATCAGATTATAGTCATCGACCTTCAGCTGGACTTAAAAAGCGAGGATTCACAGTATGAAACAAGCCATAGTAAAAATCTGGAGATATAGGGTACAAACAACACAGATGTATATTTTACAGAGCTACTCTTCTTACAGTTTGCATACAAGTCTTCTCAAAGAGTGGACTAAGGAGTCCTAACTCAGGCAGGTTGTGAAGCATTTCATCACAGCATCCCTGTAGAAAAAAAAAGAAAAACAGCCAGCGTCATAAACAATGCATAGACGACAAGAAATAGGAGAAAAGAGCGAAATAAATAAAGCGGAGGCAGAATGTTGTCATGCGTACGAAACGAAGAGAGACACAAAAAGCACTTCCGCCCTTTGTTGAGATGATTCAGGGTTGGGCTCGTCATGAATAAGTGAGTGTGTTTTGGCGGGGAAGCACCACACGCTCAGAGTGATGGGGGCTCCCGTCCGCCAGGTACGATGAGGGATGATGCAATACGAGCAATCACCATGGTAACCACAGACAGTCGTCTCCTGCTCCATCCCCCCCCCCCCCCCCCCCCCCCCCCCCCCCCCCCCCCCGCGGGCGGTGTGCGCGCCCTCCCTGTTCCCCCACCC